CCTGTCACAGGTGATAACTGGAAAGAATTACTTTATTGTCCTATGAAATCTATTAATAATTGCGAAAATTGACGTATTTTTCAGGAAACCGGCATACAACACCAAATTTTTATAACCAACAACGTAAGTCCTAAAAAAAAGAGAGAGCAAAAATACAAAAAGAGAAGAAAGGAAGACACCAAAAAATGAAAAGTAACAATGGATTATGAGTATAATATGTGATTCAAAAATCCACAAATTCACGTGCAATCCCCCAGATTTACTTTTTGTAATTCAGAAAGGCACAGCACTCGCTGATTTTCTTGAACAAGCACGATAAAAATCTGTCCAAGCACGAGAAATTTTATTCGAAAAGCTAGTTGTACGGTTCCGTTCAGACACTTTCTCTTTTATCATCTGGTGTCTCTGCTTTTCGCGAAGCTTATCACTCAACTGATTTTCGCCCTGTGCCTGCATCCCTTCTACTGCTTCTCCAGACGGTGAAAAGGTTATTCGCTGAGCTGAGTCGTCGAGATTTGTCCGTTCATCCTTGCCTACTACGGTAATCTCCTCGTCATTGGATGACGATGATGACTGCGCCGATGAGCAGGATTGTAACCGGAATCTGCGCCTGTTTGGACGTCGTCTACGGCAAGCACTCTCGGAATCAGCGCATCTTTTGTTGGCTTGAACACGTACCGATAGATTTTGCTGGTCACCGCTTTCTGGGCGACAAATGTTTCGATCGCTTGGTGCTGTGATTTCATCCTAGAAAATTTATTACATGTATTTTCAGCTTTCGCTGTGTCGTTGTTTTTGGGCTTTGTACTGTTGGCCTTGCTGGCGTTGGTGACGAAACCACTCGAAACTTATGGTTTTCACAATGTTTTTTTCTAATTCTTTCTTTTCTGTTTCTGTCGCGAAGAGCTTCTGCATCTACGAGGTATGGACAACATGTAGTCGACGAAGATCATGATAAAAGCATGGATGTAGTTTTTGGCACCCGGCATTACAGTGGAAACCGATTCCGAAACTCCAGTCTTTACTTTTGGCACTTGAGTACAAGGATCCCCATAAAATGTGTAAAAGATAAAACTCGAAATCCTGATGTACACAAATGAGCGACTTATGATAATGAAAAATTCAGAAAACAAATTATTGTATTACCGATGATTGATTCTCGATAATTCTGAAGTTGGAAGCAAAGGCATTTGGTAGATCATTCTCTGCTCCATATTTATTCTTAAACAATGATTCTTATTAGTAGTTCATTAGTTTATTAGTAGTTCATAAAGAAATTTTAGAATATCCACTTGTTGCATGCACTTCGAAATCAAACTGCCTAATATACGCCCCTTGTTTACTTGTCGGC